ATTTTCTGAATGCGTCCTTCATTCTAAAGTTCACACATGCACAGCCTTTCAGTGTTGGAAAAAAACGATCGAGAAAGAGAAAAACACAAAACACAGGAAGCAGTAGACCCAGTGCAGATGCCACCGCTAGAAAGGCGAAAGCAGATCTCAGATGGATGCAGCGAATCCAGAATTCACCGCAATAAATTCAGCACAGTGCGGCCAAGGACAGGGCAACACCCCATATCCATGGCTCGCTTCCGTCCACAATGAATACAAAGGCATAATGGAAGTCAATAAAACCACGGCTTTCTTGATGGAATCCACAATGCTGATGGTATATGGCTGGTAAAGAATGATGAGAAAGAGTAAAAGCTACTCCTTACATGAATGCTTACGCTGATCTACAGCACCTCTCTTGGCAAGAGTCTTCTGATTCCCTTAGACTGTGGCAGAAGAAAACCATGTATCTGTCAAATTTAAGTAATTCTTGGTAGATACATATGTCATTACTTTTGTATTATACGCACATACATAGAGTGTTGTTTGGAAAGATACACAAGAAACTGGTCTCAGTGGCTGCTCCTGGAAAGGGGGGCGTTCAGTGGCTGCAGGGGATCAGTGTGAGAAAGACACTGCTCTCTGCTCACCTTTGGGCATAGTATCAATTTTAGATCATGCATGTACATCACCTATACACACACACACACATACACACACACACACACACACACACACACAAAGCAAAATAACACATATTCTAATAAAATAACAAGTACACGTGTCTTTCGACCTAGTTATCTTTCTCATGGGAGTGATGTCCTGCAAATATAACCAAATGTGTGAAATGTCAAATTTTCAGGGTCTCTGCAGCATTGCTTTTAATAGCAAATATTGAAAACAACTTAAATGAAATAACTTCAACGTCCATTAATAGGACACTGGTGAAATAATTGTATCCGCCCATACCATTTAATATCGGGTGTCCCCAAAAAGGAATAAAGAACATTATGTATTGATAAAACATGTGCTCTACAATATTACTGAAAAAGGAAATGTTATTGCATGCTCTCATTTGAATTCTAAAAAAGTGAGAGATATGTATGTATATATAATATATATGTATATTTTATGCAGTGTATATATTCATTACTTTTATAAGATATTTCTGAAAGGTACATAAAATTGATAACATTGGCTATCTCAGGAAAGGAGAACTTGGTAGCAAAAATTCAGGAGGGTACGGATACTTTTATTCCAAAAGAATTCACAGATGTTTCCATATCAGAGGATCATTTAGTTATAAATATATCCTTGCTTCATAGACAACACTCATTTGAGTGCCTTAGTTATGGCAGTTAAAAAATATATATCATCATCCAGTCTTATTTGCTATAGAAGCAGCATCCTTCAGAATAAAATATCTGCATCTAAAAGCCATATTTCAATGTGCAGCTTAAAATAGGTGCATGTCCTTTTAAAATAAATCCTGTGAAAGAGTAGCTTCAGTTTTCAGTGATAATTAGCTTTATGTAGATTGTTGCTAATTTCAAGTTCTTTCTCATCAAACACATTATTTGTATGTGCATAAAAAAATGCTGCCACCTCTGACCCCAGTTTTATATTATGAAAACAAAATTTCTTTTCCTTTCTTTCTTTCTTCCTTCCTTCCTTCCTTTCTTTTTTATCTTTCTTTCTTTTGGGGGGGATGGGAGTGGGCAGTCACAGATGTTGTCTAAGCGTACAGAGGCTGTGGCATGGTCAAGGAGAACGTTCTTCTATAATTGGAATGTCTTTCCAACTAAAAGACATATCCTATTTCTTTTTAAAATTTTCTCCTCCCATCTTTTCTTCTCTCTCCTGTTATCCCTTCCTTCTTTCTTTCAGCTCTAGTTTCCTAAAGAGAATATCTATTTAAAATCCTTAGAGTGAAGAACACCCTGTGGTCAAAACCTCAAATGACTATAATTAAGAAAGTGTTCATCTAAAAAGATCTGAAAACTAGTGACGGTTTTTGCTCTACTTAACATTCTTTCCAGTAGGTCAAATGGCAGGTTGGGCTGATGAGTGTTGGTGCAAATCATTGGCTCTGGATCCTCCAGGGCTGATCTGCATTCTGATCAGTTTGGAGACCAAACTTTTGCTTAAGCTAAATTGAAAAGAGTCCTATCATTTTCGAGTGACGGACCATTAGAACTGAAAGGAGGGTCAGACAAAATCTAAGTCAGTTTCTTTGTTTGACAGATGTAAATAAGGTCACATAACTTAACTGTTGGAGTCAGATCTGCTGATCACTTTCACCATAGAACATCTCAGCAGGACGAAACAACCCTTCCTGGAAAATGATCTTCTTCTTTTTGTCTCTTATCTATGTTTGCCTCCTACTTGGAGTAACCAGTGTTTATGAATAAATGACCTTCTGCACGTTACTAAAAACTTGGAAATGAGAAAATAAATTTCCCTCTTAAGAGTTAATTATATTAACCAGCACCGGCCTCCTTAACTGAAAAATTTCCTTGAGTTGTTGAAAAGTTTCACTTTGGTGGTCAAACTGTGTTCATGTGGGCTGTATTAATAGGCACACTAAGTCACATGCTAATGTTGTGACATTGGCCCATTCACATATCTAGAGAGATAAAAGGATTTCAACATAAGAGTTTGGACTGCAAATATAAAACAGGAGCAGGGAAGTCAACATAGAAGTTGACCTGTATTCTGCTGAGAGCAGGGGAGAGGAAAGCTTGGCCGGGGTATTGAGAATTTCATTCCCATTGTCAAGGTTCTACCTTTGGGCAAAGGTGCTCCTTTCTTAAATTTTCTTGGCTTCCCGGTTTTCTTCTGACCTCTCGAGACACTCACTTTTTCACCTGCTTTATCCTTCCTGCTTTCCCATCTGACTTCTAAATGAAAAATTTGCTGAGAGCTCATTCATTGTCTTCTCACCCAATATGATGTTCCAAGGTGATCTCATTCATGCTGTTCAATTCCCAGATTTATCCCTCTACTCCAATCTCTTTTCTGAATAAAATATGTTTGTCTGTCTGTCTATCTATCATCTATCTATCTAAATTTCCAATTAGATTTCACAAGGTTGTGGTAAACACGACATGCCTAAATTGTGTCCTTGATCTCTTTACCGTAACCTCTTCCAATCTGCTTTCTCCTTTAGATTTTCCACCACAGAAAATGACACCTCCATTGTCCAGTTGCTCCAATCAGAAATTTGGTTTCATCCTTGAAACCTCCCTCCTCTTTACCTTTCAATCCATCACCAAATTCCACTTACACTTCATGTAGCAAGTGGTCATTTAAAAATACTAAATGCATCCTGCCACCTCCCTGCTTCCCTCTTCATCTTCAGCTTGCTCCTTTGTCCCTTCTTTATGTGTAGTTCACTCCCAATGGCTGCCTGCCTCCTACGGGTTGAGGGTTTCCTGCCTGAGATCCTTCACATACTTTATGCTATCTGCTTGGAATTCTTTTTCATTCTCGTCTCCATCCCTTCCAACTACTAATTCTTTAGTCTGTTTTTAAATGTTAGCTCCTCAGAAAGGCATCCCCTTAACTATAAAATCTGACTTAGAAATTCCATGATTATTCTCCTGTTTATCTTCCAAATCACTAACTATACATGCATTTGTGTGATTATTTCTGTCTTCCAACATTGCTATTTTCTTCACTTTTCTGCCCAGCAACCAGAACAGTTCCTGGCCTATAGTAGACAGTATTTGTTCAATGACAATGAATGAGCTCTGTTAACTGAAGAGATTTACATAATCTAATTTTTTTTTTTTACCCTGTACTGGCCAAGGTACCCTTTTGATTATGATATATCTTCCCACATAGCTTGATAACTAGGAGAGAATGTACTGATCATTCAGGTAAAAGGTATTTCTTAGTTTAAAAATCGATGTTTACAGCACCCTTTTCATGATAAAAACATGAAAAAAAAAAAACCAACTAGCAAAGAAAGAAATTATCTCAACATAATAAAAGCCATATATTAAAGCCCACAGTAAACATTACAGTCAATGGTGAAAGACTGAATGAAAACTTTTCCTCTAAGGTCAAACATGGCAAGGATGTCTACTTTCATCACTTCTACTCAACATAGTACTGGAAGTTCTAGCCAGAGCAACCAGGTAAGAAAAAGAAATAAAAGGCATCCAAACTGTAAAGGAAGAAGTAAACTTTTCTGTTTGCGGATTATATGATCTTACATGTAGGAAACTCTAAAGATTCCACAAAAAGTGTTAGAACTAATATGTTTCTATATACTCACAACGAGCAACCTAAAAAGAAAATTACAAAAACAATTCTATTTACAATAGCATCAAATATACTTAGGAATTAACTTAACCAAAGAAGCGAAAGACTTGTACAATGAAAATTCCAAAACATTGCTGAAAGAAATTAAAGACAAAAAATAAATGGAAACTTATCCGATGTTCATGGGTTCGAAGGAATAGAAAGAAAATGGAACATCCCATTTTAGTGAAATTCATACAGCGAATTATGGAATAAAGCACCTAGAGTAGCAAAAGTTTTTAAAAGTTGGATGTCAGAAAGGAGGCTATTCCCTTTAATCACCCTCCATGATGCATTTTATAAGTTGTCTCCTTGATTTTATGTTATCGTCCTTCAAATATAAGCCTTTCGGGATAGATAGCATTATGAATATTGAAAATATTTATAGTTGGGAATGGCTGTCAATGAGATAAGCTGCCAGAGAATATACACTGTTAAGTTTGTGAAGCTCTGAAACAATATGTAGAAAACACTTTAGTGTAGTAAGAAGCATATGCTACTATCTCCAATTCAAAATACTTAACAGTTTTTAACGTTGTGCTCCTTGTATTGTGCAATGTGGAAAAATGTAAAGTTCTGAGTGCTGACTTTATTTTTCAGGGCCTAGAATCGAAAGTTTCTGTGAAACAAGCACATAATAATAATGCCTTACATTACAGATCCGGAATAGATAACATCAAACTTTAATTGATTTATACATGGAATGCCTGACGCTGGTTAACAAAATTATTCTCTCTTGTGTAAGTAAAAAAAATCCAATTATTCTTTAAACATTGCCTAAGCATTGTGGTAAAAACTATTTTTATTCTCTTCATAGTATTTTCCTCTTTGAAAAACTTCTAGTTTCATTTGTATGCTTTCCATCTTTGTTTTCCTATATTAAAGTTATCATACTTTAAAAATCCATCTTTACTTATTGGCAATATAAATAATCTTGTGCTTTTCAATGACACCAATGTCGTGTTCCAGTTGCTTCATTTCTTCTTCCAGCTTCTGCTTGCGTATCTTCTTCGGTATGGAATCGATGAAGACCGAGAGGGACTGGGACTCCTTGTGCACCTCCTCCCAGTTCTTTTTCAGCCCCTGCAAATGGTAAAGAAAGCTGAATATGCATGTAAACTGTAAAAGTGAAGTAAATGGTAAAGAAAACCATACTGGTGTGGAGAATGTAAATAGGTTAAAAAAAAAAAACTGATGAAAATAACTTTTAAAATGATATGTATTTATCAAGTACTTGGCCGCAGTAACAAAATGTACTGTACAGAGGCCAAACCCTGTCCTGATTCTGTGCCCAGTTCCCAGTGGGAGTATTTATTTGCTCTGTTTTTAATGTTACTGTACTTGTTTTTACCATCAAGTATGCATATGCAGAGTTATGAGTACTATGAAACTAAGCTCATAGAAAATGCTTTGGTAAAAGCAACAACTTAGAATTTATATCCCCAAGCAAAAAGGATTTTTGAACAGGAAATTATTTCATATAAAATTTTTAGGTTTTTTTCTTTAGACTTTTATTTTTAAACCATCATCCCCATTCTTCAACAGAGAAATCACATCAAAAGACTTGCATGGCCATATTTTCTTATATCTGACTAAACGGAATTGTACAAAATGCTGAAATTCAGTTTAACATGACATAAAATGATCTTTTATGTCTCTTCGATATATTAGAATTCTTCCTCCATATAGTCAAGGGATCAATACTTCCTATTAATGCATTCTAGAAAAGACCAAAATGTCATTAAATATAACATACATGCTCATTCAATAATGTAGTTAATTTTTTATATTCTCAGTAACGAACAAATTCAAAATTAGGGATCTCTTAGGAGCAGTAAAGGTTATTTTCATCTCTGCGCTGTCACCATTTCTTATCACAATGCACTAGAGGCATCACTGACAAAACGATCTTAAACTATAAATTGAATTCATGCAATGAAATTTTATAAATTAATGCTTTCTTTTATGGGTGCACAAATAATTTTATTTACACAAAACAAAAAGTAAAACTGAAAGTACGCTTAAAATATTGCCTTGAAAACATGATCCTTGAAAACTATGGCCATACATTTAGGTTTAAGAGATTAGAACTGTCTTACATAATAATGCCTTCATAATAAAGTCTCATAGTATAAATTTAATCTTGTAGAAACCATTCAAGGACAATAAAATTTTATTGACTTATTTCCATGCTTAGGTAAAAATAAAGATAGGCTTGGGCATATTGTATAGAATAGGTTGGTTGCAAACAAGGACAACACATTTTGAACACTTGAGCAAGACCATATCAAGGATTTGGGAAAGGAAAAAGGTAGAAGAAGTTTCCAGGTTAAATTTTTAAGAGGGGGATGGATTAACACAGTTAATAGTATGTAAGATACAGTCTAATATATATTCTCATACATATCTGAATAGTACATGAGATATATTCCAAAAAGAAGTCCTCAAAGGAATTCTATTGTTCCATCATCTTTCATTATGAAATGGGAAATGTTTCCAAGGTGCCCCACAGGGATGCTTATTGCAGAGAGGAAATCTATGTGTTTACACACTTTCAAATATCAAAGGTTTTTCATAGCTAGTTAGGTGACATTTCTATATTACTTATGGTCTGTCTCTGCATTTCCTTCTAGTGTGGACAATGATGTTTGGATCAAAGTCAACAGCAAGGGATGAGAACGACATGTAACTAACATTTCATATTATATTGAAATAGCTTCTTTGTTGTTTTTAAGATTTGTGTTGTTTCATCTAAAAAAGAAATCTTGTATTCATTGCAGCAGTGGTATTTTCCCCTTATTTTTATTTCTTATTTTTTTCTCACTTCTATTTTAATGCTGAAATAATATTAATCTTGGAAAAACTTCAAATGGGAAGAAGCAGTCACAATACAGTGCCTTCATGCAATTTCATGCTCCTTTTGCACCCATTCCACCCCATCCATTCTCCACTTCCTTGTCCTGCGCTGTGATGAGGGGCGGGGTGGGGTGCGGTGGTGGTAGAGTTGATTGTTGTGGGTTACACCTCCACCCTCACATGCTAGCTCTTTTGTCCTTCAGCCTCTGCCTAAGTTCAGCCAGAAAAAAAAAAAAAAAAGGCCCCAGTAGGAGAGAGAGGTTGGGGCATTTCTCCCTCCTCTCCCTTGACATTACCTGACACTAGTTCTGGCTCATCCATCTGTGACTGCAACACCTGTCAGGTGGCCCATCGTCCAGGCTCTGGTAACACTGTTTCTTGCTCTGCCCGTCAAGCCTTGGGTGGTGGCGGATTCCACTGCCTTTAGTCCTGGGTTGCCTTTGTGCTCCTCGTGGGTTCCCTTAGCCCTGCTTCACTTCTGTAACCAGTTCCTTCAACTCTCTTCAGAATTCCAGCTGCGTGTGCCTGCTACTTCCTGCTGGAGCCCTGACTGGCAGAGCTTCCTTCAGTTACTTCCTATGCACATGATGCAGTGGGAAAACACTGGCCTGGGAACTGGTCGATGTGAGTTTTAGTCCCTCTTCGGCTACGTGATAAGGACTACATCTGTTTTGCTCACTACAGTGTCCCCCAGTGTACCTTCCAGGTACAGTGCCTGGAACACTGCAGATGTTCAATAAATGAATGCATCCCTGCTCACATCCCCCAATATTTTAAATGCTTCAGATAAAAGTCTTGCTAAACATTCCAATGTAAACATGTATTTAGGTCTGTTTTATTCAAAAATTCATTTGGCTTATAGGAAAGTAAAAAAAAAAAAAGAGTTAGGCTAGGGACAGTTTCAATTATTCTAGAGCTCCATCTAGTGAAAAATATTTAATTTATGGATAATATTTTTGAAAAATTCAGGGACATGAGAATGAAAATAAAAATGCTTTTTTGCTTTATTTACGCATGTTCATTGAAGGAGAAGGTGAGTTTCCTTACAACACTACTTCAGGGGAAAAGAAAAAAAAAAAAAAAACCTAGAAGCTCACCAAATTGGAAACAAAGTATTATTCAACAATCCCTACATTATAACTTTCTGTTTTTCCCAAGAGTCAGCTTTGCTGCATGTAGTTGTCACCACCACCAAAAGAGAGTGATCCGATTTCAAAATCAAAGTGCTTTGACAAAATAATTGGTGGCAGACCTTCCTTTCAGAGGTGTTCTAAACGTAGGAATAGAAATTACAGAACACTCACCTGTAGAACTGCCTCCCTTTCTTCATCAGATAGCCTTTTCATAGCTGCTTTCCTGAGGTTTTCCTGGATATACTTATCATATTCCTCTTGGGCTTTCTTTACTTCCTCATTTCGCTTACATATATATTCAGGTGTGATACCATAATCCTTATAATGATTTTTCAGAAAAGAAAAAACAAATCAATATCCTGAATGCTCTCTTACATATATGTACATACCAACCAATGACTGGGAGAAAAAGAAATGGTACAGACTTGAAGCCGAAGCTTAAAGCACTATAAACTGATAAAATTCAGTAACTTTTTTCCTCATCGGGAACTAGTTGATTCTGGTCTTTTAAAACCATCTGAGTTGTTATTGTGGCCACTTCTTTTCTCTCTGAATGTTTCTAGCGCTTGCTCTTGGCCGGTGACCCAGCCATTACTTTACCCCTAGGATTAAATAAAACCATTTTCTTTATTTCTTTTAGGTGCTTTAACTTTTACTTTGAAACATTTTGACTATCTTGAGGCCTCTTTTGCAAGATCTTATTCAATAAAATAGGATACATGGTTCCAAGACATTATGAAAACAAACTCAAAAGATACTAAGCACATCTGCTTTAAGACAGAATTGACTTGGTACCCTAAGGTTGTTTTCAGAATGCAAATTACATTTTTAGGCTCCTGGGCTGCTTTTAAGGACTGACAGTGAAGTAGTCATATGAGATTCTTTCATAGTACTGAATGCGTGTGATATCAATGTGTAGAGAAACAAATATTCTTTGTTTATTCTTCAAAAAATCATTTGAGAATGTATTTGGTGCTGGGTAGACTAGTGAATAAGAAAGGCATTCTATGGTGAGAGAAACTCACCTTATGAGGAAAAGAAAGTAATAGGAGCTATTTTAGATAAATAAGGGGGTAAGGAAAGACCTTTCCGAGGAAACAACCATTGAGAGGTATTAGTCATTAAAACTATTCACAAATATTCTGGTTCCTCTCCCTGTGGGTAATTGCTAAGGCAACACTTTCCTGCTCCCCTTGAAGTAAGAGGTAACCATTTAACCTGACTTGCTTAATGTGAGTGGAAGTGACCTCTGTCCCTTAAGAACTAATGAACTATGTTCTTTTTCTGTCTGGTATAGGGATGAGAGATGTTTTGGGTTGCCTGGGACATGGAATAAGAAAAAGAAGCAGAGCTTCCAACAACCCTCAGTGGATGTGTGGCACAAGCAAACCATAAAACTTAGATGGTTTTTGTTACTGAAATGTGGGCTTTATTTGTTACCACAGCATAACTTAACCCATCCTGATTGAATACATGATAGAAATCCTAGCTATAAAGGTGTTCTGGAAAGTTGTAAAGCACTATACAAATAAACTCTAAGAGCACAGTCCAATCCATTCCAGGAAACACAGAGGTCAACATCTCATTACAGCTCAGTACAATTACTGATGTTCATAATGATGAGTCTGTGTCGCCAAAATAAGATTAAATTGTATTTGACATACTCTGTTTAATAAATGGAATGACGTGATACATTTTAGGAAAATGAACTATCTTACAAATGGGTAAAAGCTTGGTGATCTCAAATATTCCCATGTGCTGGATCATTGAGGGCTAATGCATTACTATTTGTACTAATAATTGCATATGCTATAATATATACATTTTATTGAACTTTTATTAGGTGCCAGGTATTGTGACAAGTGCTTAATATTTGTATATCATTTGATCCGCACTGCAACCCCGTAATAAATCTAACAACTTGTTAAAGATCACAGAGTTAAGTGAGTGTCAGAATTAGAACTTGAAATGGTGTCATACTACTATAATATATTGCAGGCAATCATCCATCCTTCCATTTGCTTTCACAAATTGTTTTCCATGGGAAAAATGGGCATATAATATTTTATTTGAAACTAAAACATGAGGTTAACTCACTTTTAAAAAATGACACTGCCCTTAAAAAGACTTACTATCTCATTTACCAATAATATATTATTTAAAACTTAACTCTGAGAAGTGGAAAGTACGTCGAGTAAGTCCTTTGTGAGTCCTGATTGCTTAGCCAGCAACACCAAGAGGACAGCAGGTGTGGAGTGTTTGCTTGGCTCAGTAAATAAGCACAGACAGAATTTTTCTGTCTCTGCGATGGATTTGTTGTTCAGTTTTCTGTTCAAGGCAGAAAATGTATGGAGGTAGACAGCCTAGACAGAAGGCAGCCAGAAGGAGGAGGGCAGACTGTGTGGCAGTTGGTGGCATGACTGTCGAAAGAGAAGGGGTTTTACATGACGGAGGAGAAATAATGGACTGGAAGTAGCTTTAAAGAGCCAAGAGAGTGAATTTTCTGTTTCTCCACATCCTTTGGGACAAGGGCTATGAACAGCCTCCAAGAGCCACAGAAAGAGGGAGTATCAGAGAAGCGTGGAATAACTTTATTGGCATGTGCTGCCAACTCGAAGACTCCTGCTAAAGTCTTCCAAAGCTGTCTCAGCCAATGGAGTGACAGAGTTTCTGAGGGAATAACCAGTGTTCTCTGACAACAGCCTTGAGGTTCCTGTTTAGATTTTTAACGGGCACTGGATTTCTCGTGGTAGATCACTGGACTACGTGAATGCAGGCCCCTCATACACACTATTGCAATTTCTTCCTTTTTTTCTCTTCCTTCCTTCTTTCCTTTCTTTTTTTGCCAAACCTTATCATTATGTTTTATTCTTCTCTGGGGTTTTGCACTCATATTTTACTATGCGTTTTGAGCACTTTTATGCTCTATAAGTATAAATAGGTTTTGTATAGGTTTTTTTTTTGGTAAGCTTTTTCAACTTTAAAGACCTCTTCTATTCAAACTGCTCAACCCAAGCTTTATAATTTTCCCCAATGAAATTATATGCCTATCTGATAAGCGCCTTTTCAGATAGAAAAGAAGGTCCCAAAAGGATGAGATTATTGTACAGCACTTCCAAGGTCTGCTTTACTCCAAACTAAAAACAAACAAATATATTCAATAATAATGAGAATTAGTTACCCTACACTGATGGCCCGCGTGCCTCTAAAGTTGTTTCCCTCTTCATTTCTCTCATTCTGCTACCAAGACACTGAAATCTAATGACTAAATCTTATTAGGATCTTCTGAAAGCTTATTCCTTCTTGATTTATAGGAATGGCTATGCTTTTAAAGACACGACCACCTCAGCTAAAATCAATGCCTTTTAGAGAATGTTATAATTATTAAATATATTAATAATTGAAATTTAAGAAAAAACATTATAGTTTTCCTCTACTGAACTCTACGATATTCGTTCCTTCCAAATTCCCTGTCATTCCATCACATTCCGTTTGGACCAAACACCGATGTCAGGGAAATGAGAACTGGCAATCTAGATAAGCTGTCCAGTGAGAGTACTAGTGATGATAATACAGACAATCGTTATGAAGACCATATGTAGATTATGTGGCTCGCAAGTTTATCACAAGGCTACCTTTTTATTGATGTATTTTGGAACTAGTCCTGAAGGTTCCAGATCATGCTTGTCTCCAGTTCTCTTGTCCACGAAAATTGGTTTAGGCTTTTTAGCCACTCCCATAATGACATCGGCTGCATTCGTATGGATAAAATTTTTTTCACTCTGTACTCCCATGACTGGGTGATCAGTCCTCAGTGGCACAGAAGGTTTTTTGGGCTCATTCCGATCAAACTTTTTTTCTGTTAAACATAACGTTTCCTAGTTAATGTTAAACTATAAATATTACAACACAGTGCTATTTATAACATCTAGATATTTTACCACTACTATACTGAAGTTTTATTAATAATATGTTCAAATACTTAAGATGAAAATCAGTAGTCATAAATGCAAAAAATTAAGTGCAACATAATCAATTAACATGGTAGTGAACAGTATTAAAATCTAAGGGAAGAAGATAAGTATCCAAAATCCTATGCTAGCTAACTAATACATTTTCACTAGCTACTGCGAAAATATTTTCTTCTATTCAACAACCAAAGTTCAGCTTTCCCAATGGAAAAAAAGTTCACAAAAATATTAAAATTTTTTCTGAATACTATTATCAATATTACTAATAATTGCTTCTTCAGAGGCAAGTTATTATAAAATCACAATGTAAATAAATCAGACTTGAAGTATTGAAAGTCCAAGAATCTATGGATTTTTTTTCACTAAAACTACTATTATTATAAGGTATAAAAATCATGTAAGGTATAAAAAACATGCAGCCTAACAATAAAACATTACACTATAATTAAAGTTTACTATTTACTCCTCCGTGATTGCATCTTGCCTCTTAAAATAACTACTCTTCAGAATTTATTTTATTTCTCTAAACCACATTAGAGGCAGGTGAAACTGGCCTCTTCAACTTGACCATTCTGACTTATCTATTTTGATACAGCATATCAAAATGGTTTGTAAAAATATTAAAATGTAAAATAATTATGATTTATTTCTAAGAGCCGAAAGCAACAACTCTTGAAAAACCTAACTCATATCTTAACCCTACCTATCACACTTACTAGGGGTTTTGACTTTATTTCTGCATTGTTGGAGTTTTTATGAGTGTATATAACTTTTATTATCAGAAAAAATAATACTTACTATTAAAAGTCTATGGGCGGAATTAACCTGTTATGAGCTGAATTGTGTTCTCCCAATATTCATATATTGAAGCCCTAACCCCCAGTACCTCAGAATGTCACCGTATTTGGATATAGGATCTTGAAAGAGGTACGTAAGTTAAAATGAGGTAATTAGGTGGGCTCTAATCCAATATCACTGACATCCTTATAAGAGGAGGAACAGACACACACAGACACATGCAGAAGGAAGACCATGTGAAGGGATAGGGAAAAGACTGCCATCTACAAGCCAAGGAGAGAGGCCTCAAAATGATACCAACTCTGACAACATCTTCATCTTGGACTCTAGTCTTTAGAATTATGACAAAATAAATTTGTTTAAGCTACCCCCATCTGTGATACTTTGTTATGTCAAGTTCTATATCTTCAAGAACATCATAAAGAGTTTTGAATATTCATTTATTCATTAATTCATACAATATATTTTTGTTGAGTAATTACTATGTCCCCAACTAATGCTCTAGAAACCGTATACACAATAGTAAAAAGAGATAAAATCCCTGTTCTCGTGGAGTTTACATTAGTGGGGAAAATAAAATTTAATATGTAGAATATAATGTATATATTTGGTTGAACTATATGTGAAATTATTAGAGGTTTTGACCTCCAAAATTCATATCTTCTTCCTGTTTAACATATCACTGATATGTTATAAACATTGTTAGAAATTGAATTATGGAATTATTATGAAGCTTGGAGCAGAGAATAAGGCCTTATTGGTGGAACTCGAATAGCTTCCTTCTACCAGATACACTCAACCAAACAAGGTTTGCATGATCTGATTGCCTACAATACCAGAAGTATCTATCCTCTAGGTGTTCACATGGAAAATATTCAAAAGCCAAATTTCATTATGAATTGAAAGTGCATGCAAATGACTCCTGTAACTATAACAGAACCCATAGCTTTAGAAATGTGCAGAATAAGAGATAAAACTGAATTCTCAGAAAATGAGGAAACTGTTTAGAAAAACTAATAATTCATTCTTAGGTGAATAAATTGAGTAAATTGTAACTCTTGATTGTTTCTGGCTGTCTACCTAACGGTACCTAAAGCCTACCCCTGCCTTTCCCTTATGTTATATTTATTTAACCATTATCTTCTCTCTCATCCCTAGAGTAGGGGTTGGCTAGGGTGTGAGGTTTGGAAAATGGGGTGAAGACGTCTCTTCACAAATTATTTGGTGGTAATAATAAACCTGAAAACCACTGGTTTGGTCTTTTTTAGGGTATGTCAAAATGGCAATGTCAACAGTCTTGTTGTCATGCACATGTTCTATCAATTGAATTTAGAGAAATATTCATGTATCTGTTAAGTATTTTTCAGTGTGTCTAGGGAATCACTGTCTTCAAAATTATTATGTTCAAAATGGCAGAATATTCAAAAAGAGATTGGCAGCAGCCTTGGCCTACATTACTTTTAACTTTGTCTCATTGGACTGGCCTTTTAAAGTTCTTGCAACACCCTGAACTTCTTAATTATTCTTAAGGACAACGAAATTTTGTGTTTGTTTTGCCTTATGATGTTAATAAGAGGCGATACAGGCTTATTCTCTTTTTCCGTAGTGGATACTTTGGATTTAAAGAGTGTGGTTGTTGTGTTAGGTGACATGTTTAACCCTAGAGAAGCTACATGAGGACCCGCGTAATATCCTGGGCCCTGAGGCACCGAAAGAAATCTAATTCCATTTTAAGGGTTTCCTGTGTTCTCAGGTGGTTGTGGATCACAAAATACCAAGACTCCACCTGAGGAAGATACAAAACAGACTTTTGAAGACATGAATTTGGGCGTGAATGTTGTATTTTCAGACATACTTCTTCCATCCTTCCTGATAATTCTTTCATCCTTTGTCATGGCGTATGAATTATGAGAGAGGGTTGTGGGATATAAAATATGGACATAGGGAGTAGTAGTTTCACTTTTGTCAAAAGCTACACCCTAGCTGGGCTCGAGACGTTGAATTATTACCTCCTGGATGCCAGAAGATATAAAAAGGCTAACTTTTTCAAAGACGTAGGTTCACATCCTTCTTTTCCTTATTGTCCTAAAACATCATGGAACACAACCCCAGGATGGGAGGAAGCTGCTTCCTCGCATACCTGTCACAGATCCCTTTCCATCCACTCTCCATTTTCCTAATAGCCTTCTTTCCCGATATCTATATACTCTAAGATTAATTACATAATTTGTGAGGCCCAGTACAAAATGAAAATGTAAGCCTCCTTGATTCAAAATTATTAAGAGTTTCAAGATGACAAAGCAGAGCATTAAATCAAGCATGGGATCCTCCTAAGTACAAGTAGAAGCACTTGTGACTGCACAAGTAGCATGTCCAAGGACTGACTGTCTACCATTCTCTCATGAAGGCTTCTCCATTACAGCCAACTCCTTACTATCCTAATGGTCTTAGAAAACTGAGAGACTCAACTCTCACACTTAAGCCTAAAGTGAACCTGGAAGTCACTTCAACAACTGGGAGTAATGGTTATAGTTTTTATCTCTTGAAGAAAAGACCCCTGCCCACTGGGGTTTAGAACTCTTATAATAGTTGTTATTGAATTCATACGGCTAAGGACTAAGACGGTGAGGCATGTGGTGCTGCAGGTGGGGCTTTATTGGATCGTCCAAGGCGTAGTTCAAGATGCTTGCACCACCCAAAGGAAAGTCTGTTTTGAGGGCAACTTAGCATTCTCTACTCTCTTTTTCTATACATTCTCTACTTCTACTTTGTTTTAGCCTTTCAAAACCTGTTTAATATGAGGTAAAGTTGTTATCACCTGTGAATAGTTAATGTTAATAGACAATAAAATAATTTTAGTTAAATTTAGTTAACACCGTTAATATAAAAAGAATGGTAAAACCTACTGGGTGGTAAAGTTTTTTCCTTTGAATGTTTCTTCAGGAAATCCTTTGGAGAAGGTACATCAACTTTTGGCGGTCCCATAGTTTTCATTGTAGTTTTAAATTTGTGCATGTCCTCTTTTACAGCTGTCTTAAAAATTGACACATACCTAAAATTTAAAAAGACATAGCATTTATATTTCTAGTAAAATTATTTAAAGTTTAAAAAAGGATATACATTTCTAATTTATGTAAGTCTATATTAATTTGGAGATAGCCATAAAGCATAATTATCAGAGCCTTATCTATCAGGCTTAGGCAAGCTAGATGGAAGCTTTGCTCTAAGAAAAAAGTGCCGAGTAAAGATGTTCGTGGTGTTTCTTTATTATCCTTTGAACAATCTAAGCATCGATAGGTTGTTCAAAGGATAATAAAGAAACACCACGAACATTGATTTTACCTCTCTCTTTCTTGATAGATATTGTTAATTTGTGTCCTTCTTTTCTCTCTTGCCCATTCTTTTTCTTCCTCCCTCCTTCCTTCCCTCCTTCCCTCCCTCCCTCACCCCCACCCACCCCATACCCTCTTCTTGTCTAATCAGTCTGGCTAGGGGATTATTAATTTTATTGCTCTTCTCAAAGAACCAGCTTTTCGTTGATTTTCTCCACTGTTTACCTACTTTACATTTCAGTGATTTCTGCATTGATCTTTACTATTTCTCCTCTTTTGGGTTTCTTTCTTTCCTTTCTTTCTTTTCCTTTCTTCCTTTCTTTCTTTCTTCCTTTCTTCCTTTCTTCCTTTCTTCCTTTCTTCCTTTCTTTTTTCCTTCCTTCCTTCCTTCCTTCCTTCCCTCCTTTCTTCCTTTCTTTCTCGCCTCCATACTCTTCCTTTCTTCCTTCCTTCCTTCCTTCCTTCCTTCCTTCCTTCCTTCCTTCCTTCCTTCCTTTTTTTTTTTAAGGTGCAAATTTAGGTACTTGACTTTTAACCTTTATACTTTTCCAATAGAAGTATTTAAAGCTATAAAATTCCCTCTATGCACTGTTTTATAGCTGCATCCTACAAATTTTGACATACAATGCTTTCATTTTCATTCAGCTGAAAATACCTTTTAAATTCCTTTCTGACACTTTCTTTGACTTAGGAGTTTGCTTAGATGTGTTTTCTTTGGTTTCCAAATATTTGGGGATTTGCCAGATATCTTTCTGATTTCTAATTAATTTCTATTGGGGTTAGAGAATATACTTTGTAGGATTTCAATCCTCTTAAATTTTCTGACACTTGCTTTAAGGCAAAAAGTATGGTCTATCTTGGTAAATGCTCCGTAAACACTTGAAAAGGAAGTGTACTTTGCTGTGATTGGCTGGTGCATTCTATAAATGAAGATTAGGTCAGACTGTTTGCTTGTTTTTAAGTGTTCTATTAATTATTGAAATCTCTGACATAATTGTGGATTCTTCTATTTCTTTTATTTCTATTAGTTTTTGCTTCGTATGTTTTGACACTGTTAGTAGGTGTATAGCATTTAGAATTACCATATCTTTTTGAAAAACTAACTATTTCATCATTATAAAATACTTTTTATCCCTGAAAAATTCTGTATTCTAAAATCTATGTCTTATATGAATATAACCTCTCCAGCATTCCTTTGATTTCTGGTAACGTAGTATTTTTTCATTCTTCAACTTTTTACTTATTCAATCCAAATTTCCAACTTGCACCTTTATTTTTAAAGGGGTTTTCTCATAGAGAGCATTGAATTTTTACCCTTTCTAACAATCCCCTTTACTTGGTGTGTTTAGACCATTCACATTTAATGTGATTTTAAAAATATGTTCATGTTTAAATTTTCCGTCTTGCTGTTTGTTTTCTACGTACCCCATTGTACACTTATTCTTTTTTTTAAATCCTGCCTTACTGTTGTTTTTGTTTGGATTTTGTTTTATTTTGTGGAAGTTCTAAGGTTTAAAATATACATATTTAACTTACCGTAGCCTACATTCAAATATCATTTCAAATATGGTATAAGAACCTTACAAAAGAATACTTGCATTTACTGCTCCCCCAACCTTAGACCTAACATTGTAATATATTTTACTTCTATATGTGCTATAAAAACCATAATTCATTGTGATTTTCCCTTTAAAAGCCAATTGTGTTTTAAAGAAATTTAAAAAGAAAAATTAATATTTACACATATATTTACCATTTTCCGTATTCTTTATTTCATTGTGTCAATCCAAATTTCCAACTTGCACCCTTTCTTGTGCATTAAAAACTTTTCAATTTCTGACTTCCATTGTTTCTGATGAGATATTTGCTGTCTTTTTTTTCTTTATGTGCAATGGAATTTTTTCCCCACTCTTTGGCTGTTTTAAAGATTTTTTAAAATTATTATTGTTTTTAAGAAACTTGATTGTAATGGCCTTTGGTATGGTGGTGGTCTTCTGTCAATCTTCTTCTCCTCCTCCTCTGCCCCCTTCTCTCTTTCTCTTTCTCCTTCTTCTTCAGTTTCATTGTAATTCTTGAATTTATAGGTTTAGGAATTTCATTAACTTTGTCAAAACTTTGGCCATTTTTCAAATGTTTCTTTTGTTTACTCATCCTCTTTTCTCTTTCTGGGATTCTAATTACACTTATGTTAGGCTTCTTGATGTTCTTCACAGCTCACTGATTCTGTTTTCCTTTTCAGTTTTTTTTTTCTGCTTTATTTTGTATTGTTCTATTACTATGTCTTCAAATTCAATAACATTTTCTTCAGTGTGTTAGCTGCTATTAATCCCATCTAGTATTCTATTTTTGTTTTAGACATGGTATGCTTTATGTCTGCAAGTTAGATTTAGGTCTTTTTTAAAAATCCATTTCTCTCTGTATTTTGCTCACGTTTTCCTTCTCTCTGTTTTTGAACACATGGGAGAATATTTAAAATAATGATTTTAATGTCCTTGTCTACTAATTCTCTCACTGATGTCATCAATTCTTTGTCTGTTTTTATTGACTGATTTTTCTCTCGGTTATGCATTATTTCTGGGTCCAGAAGAGCTTTTAATCTAGTTCTAACTTGGCTCTACTACAGCAATATACTTATGAGTGCATTAGTCAATGCCCTGTGCTTTAGGAGGTGTTTCCACTCTGGCTCGTGGGAATGTGAACTTTACCTGGCTCTGCTGCCTCTGTAGTTTCGTCAAAACACTGTCAACCAAAGACTTCAGGGAACTCCTCCTGCATATTTCAATCTCTCCGTCTTTCTGTCTGTCTCTGTCTGTCTCTGCTCCCTTTCCTTTCTCTCTTTCTCTCTCTCCCTCTCCTGCAGTTCTCACCTTTCCCATACTCTGTGCTATGAATTCTACATGCCTTGACCTCCCAAATTCTAAACTCTGTTTCCTTAACTCAGGAAAACTACTGGGTTTTATTTAAATTCCTTTTCCCTAGGCTTTTGCCTGTGAATTCTCTCCAGGGAGTATGTTGAGGCAATTGCAGGGCTTGTTTCCCTTCTCGTAGGGATGACTGCTCTGTGCTGCTTGTTGTCCAGTGTCTGCAAACCATTGCTTTATTATTTTTTTCTGTTGTTTTAGTTGTTTAAGGTGAGAGGGTAAATTCCATTTTTGATTAGAAGCAGAAGTTCAGCTAAACCACTTTTAACAACTTGTATTCTCTTCTTACTTATGTGGATAAGTTTGTTTGAAGAAAAATTAAATGGTTTCTTTCCTCAATCCTGAACTCAATGGCTAGGAATTAATTATGGTCCAAATGGAATGAGCTCTTTAGGTACCTTCGGGAAATAAAGTTCAATCCATACCCATGCCTTATAATTCCCATGGAAGCTGGAATTGGCAGATATGATCTCTTAATTAATAAAATATTCCTTTGGGGGTAGAAAAGGAGTGTGAATACTCTCACCTCTTTTTAATTTACAGTCTTGTGATTCTATACATTATTTTGTGTGAGCTCAAAGCTTATCTATCTGTTATAGAAAACAAGATATTCTAGTCTATATGAATACTGTATATTTTTATTTTTCCAAATTACAAAAATAAAAATAAAACTAATATTATGTCAAGTGTATCTCAATTTAAAAAATGAATAAAAATCTAGGTTCCTTTCATCTCCTCAACCATTTTCCAGAATAAATTCTGTTTTCTGTATTTCTATTTACGTATGAATTGTAACTTAATTTTTAAAACTTAATATAATGTGATATCTTTCCATATTAGTTTATGTAAAGCTTATACTTTCTTTTCAACAATTACATTTTATTCCATTTTTCTGGATGGTGTGGTTTTATTATAAAGATCTAAAAATGACTTTATTAGACAACTGGCCATACTTTCTACTTGCTATTAGTTGTCAGCTATAGATTAATTATTCAACCTAAAATTTTCATGTTCAATAAATATACCATACTTATATTAATTTTATTGCCAATAATCACTAGATAATAGGTCATGTCCAGTCTTTAGATATAATATACATTTTTAAAGCAGATTATCTTAAAGAGCACATGGTGACCAAAATTTGGGACAGTTTGATAACATTTGCTTGAGATTTTTTTTTTCCTAATAGGTTAGATGGGCATCTGGTTAACCAATTTTTTTTTTTTTTAAATTTCTGGCCCATATTATTTCAGTGCTTCTCTATTGTATAGAACTTTGGGACCTAGACTGTATTAGAAAGTCCCCCTAATTATTTCTTGAAGAGAATTTTGTCTATGTACATAGATACACCTTAAGCCCACCTAAACACAGTGAAGTAAAAGTCTTCAATTCAGCTTCCTGACTATATCAGGTAAGTCAATTTCCACAAATGGATGCCAATTCTCCTCCCAGCTTGGCTGGCTGCCAAAGCTATGCTGCTCTGCACTTAATTGATAACACATGTATGTGTCATTGAGTGTAACTCTGATCTTATTGCTGCTCAGTATCTATTGCAAGCTGTTGAGAGAAATAATAAATATGGTAGATTATCAAAAAGATATGTAGTTAATGTATTCATTTAGATCTGTGCTGGACAATACAGGGGTTACCAGCCAAATGTGGACAGTGAGCCAAATGGGGCTAGTACTATATGCTGAAATCATAGTATTTTTGACATATTGGGTTAAATAAAATATATCATTAAAATTAATTTTACCTGTTTTCTACCTTTTAAAAGTTGAGAAAACCAATCAAATGCACCTAAGCCATCAAAAAAATTAAAAATCACATATGTGGCTCACATTTTACTGGATAGTGCTGATCTAGAGATCAGAAAAATCAATTCTCGAATTAAACGATATAATAATATAGTTGCATATCCAGACCATATCATATCCAGGCCTCCAAAACTGCTTCATTAAGTTATGTTTTGGCATGAGGCCATTGGCCTATAATGATATAGGCCAATGGCCTATATCAGACCTATGGAACTCATGTAGTTAATGTAAAAGTACAGCTGAAATCTTTATTCATTACAGTACACACACTGTCTTTCCTCTCTATGAACCGTGGAGGAAGTGTATTTCTGGCTCCACACCAAGAAGACTTGTGCTTCTCAGCTACCGCTTTGCTTTTGTCTTAAGGAAAATTTGACCTAAAGTGTAAGTGATCTTTAGAGGATCCTGGGAAGAAGCTTTCTTCCTTTATGGGTTGCCCACTTTCTAGATAGCATTGAGTCAAATTTGTATCAGATGTCAAGCAAACAAACAAGATTTTAAAGCACACCTTTCATGTGCAAGATATTTCATGCTCATTTGTTGCATTACCTTACTTTTTTATCATTGTTTTTTATTTGCTTTGATATCCTTACTTAAAGATACCTTATAGCATTATAATGTGGTAATGTATAAATAAATACTAAACAATATCTGATACATGATAAATTATCTGAAGACATATATACATACATATATAATTGAAGCCAAAGATACTCGCTAGGTTTGATTTAATTATTTACTCAGGTTAAAAGGCAGAGTGCAAACTGGTTAAAGTGATGTGCTTTTGTGTCAGACTTATATCTAAATCTTAGCTCTTCTTCATCCTAGCTGCCTCAATGTTCTAGGCCTGAGCCTCCTCTTCTATAAAACTGGGACAATACTACTCATTTCATAGGGTTCTTGTGAGACTAAAATAAAATGATTGTGTAAAACATAGAGCAGTGCCTGGCACATTGTAAACACTAATACATCACACAAATTATCATTATTTTTATCAGTAGTATTCTTATTGTTACTGGATATTCACCTTGCTTAAATTTAAAAAATAAAATACTGTTTGATCTTTTACTTGATTTTACCTGTATCCTAGCAGAAACATCTTATTCTCTAAAAAGTCAAGTTATGGTGTGTAAATGGTTATTATAATAGACAGACAGATAGACTGACATACTTTCCTGATATGTAATAAACAGATTCACATACTACAACATATATGTACAATATGCTTAAGATAGTGAACCTTGTTCTGGAATGGAATAAACTTCTAAAAAAATGAGTCTAACACAAAAGTTCACTTATCTACAAATTTCCCTTGCAACTGATTTTAAGAAATTTTTTGATATATTTTCTTCTCAACATTTTTAGATACTAGGTATGTGGGAAATGCCAGATAGGTGTACTAATATACCACATATTTTATAATCTGTAGAAATCTAAATGAGAGGCAATAACCCACATTAAGCCAGTAAATGCAAATATTATCTTCTTTCCTTCTACTCCCTTCACCATAGTTCCTTTTTCCTACTCTTTGTTTCAGAGTCAACCAAGGAGTTTGGGCTTGTCCCTCCGACATTCCCGCAGGGCAATATTATACACATAATAAGGGCTTGCCAAATTAATAAAGATTGTTCCTACAAAAAAATCACTTAGATGCATAGTAAACCTTTTTAATTTACCAACGAACAGATCGTCTAATAAAATACCTTATCATTCAAATTCTTTACCCTATAGAAAATACAAACTACTAGTGAGTTACAGAGGAGTTTTGTCTTGTACAATATATAGGAATTTTGGACCAAAAGTCCATTCGGCAATAATTAATTTGAAAACTCCTCATAAATTCTGCAACTGTATCATATCTGACTTTGCAATTCTTCTTTCCAATCTCTACTAGATTTTGAGAAGCTAATGTGAAACAATGTAGGTATCGCTCTGCTTAAAACAAAGATACTCAAGCTTAAAATGGGAGGATTTGCCCACTTGTTGAGGATGTTATACACCTCAAGTAATTATTAGTAAAAACCTGACTATTAGATCTGAAAGGGACCTAAGTCTAGGTCATTTAGTTTGTTTACATATCAGAAAACAAATGAAAATTTATTTGTGATTCCAAAACCAATTATGTGCCATGCATGTTTGTTTGTTTTTTTTCCTTAGCGTAGTGCTCTTGCATCAGGAAAAAGAGAAACGTAAAAGATAGCAAAAAGACAGTCATAGGAAGAATGAGATTTTCTCTACTAGTTACCTTCTTTTCTCCCCATAGATTTCAAAAAGTTCTAAGTCCCTACACAGGAGAGTAACTGAGATGTTTACTTTGTGGTGAGCTTTTTGAAATGTGAGGCATTCAAGAGGTCCTAACACCTATGCAAAAATTTTAACTTTATTACACTTTTCCTTTCATGCAACTATCAGACCTGAAATAGACCTTAGAAACTAGTCTATTTTGTTTCACTTATCAAAAAATTGAGGCTCAGAAACAAATGAATTTATCTTTGATAATAATCTTGGGGAAAAATATAAATGCTATCCTTTTAGAAAGGGAGTAGTGTAGTCAGAAATAAAACAATGAAATCCTGTAACCAAATATCAAGTATGCTTACGCAGGATAATAAATTGTGATTTTTCTCTTTTCTACAACAAGAAGTTTAACACTATGTTGTATACCACATCATGTATGAACAATTAAATTGTAAAACAATAACATACCGTATTACAGGAGACTAGCCTAAAATGGCCCTCTCACAGCCGTGGATTGCCCTCTCTGTAAATTTAAAGATCTAGATTTTGCTAAACATCTAGATTTTGCAACCTCTTCTTTAAGAGGTTGTTATATGATCCTTAGTTAATCTTGAAATGGAACATTTATTTTCCCATTCTTGTTTCAAGAGATAATCTTGGCTTACCCACATACCTAGGAGGCTGGGGAGGCTCCTTCCAGTCACTGGGTATGAGGTTATAAATGCTCTCAGAAGAGCATGTTGGATCCATGGCCACCAAATGACTCCTAAAAACTACTCAACTTTCTTTTTTCTCACTATACCACTATCTCAGTCTCTTTCTTCACCGTTTCCCCTTTCCTACGCCCTTGCCGTCTTAAGGAACTAACGTTTCTCTCTTTCACGTAATTCTCCTTTGACCTCTTCTTAGCGATCCTCTCTTGGGAAGATACCCTTTGTATTCCTCTTGGGGTTGCTTAGCGTCGTTGACGGCGCGGTTGCCGTAGAAATAGTTACTAGGCGACGGGGAAGTGGAAGGCAGCATTGCAAACTAGGTCTCCTGCCTTCCCTCTCCGCAGCTCCTTCAGGCGAAAAGTTCAATATGAAAACCACTGTTTGTATGGGCCTTTGGAAGTAATGGTGTGAAAAACAGAGTCCCCTTAAAAACGTTGCTCTTTTCTGTCTCTATATAGAGAAAAAAAACAATCTCAGACACAGGAGAAACGCACGGGGACGGCACGCGTCACACCACTAGGCTCCTGCGCGCAGGCTCCTGTGCGCAGGCCCCAGTCCCAACGAGGGCGGGGCGAGGGCCGAGGCCGCGCCGACGCCAGGAAAACTCCCAGAGCGGGGCGGGGCGGGGCGGAGCCCGAGGAGCCGGGAGGGCGCGGGTAGGTGGGGCGCTGGGCGAGAGTCACGTGCCCCTGAAAGCTAAGGCATGGTTGTAAAGTTGCCACTAGAGCATTAAAGGCATGCCCCAACGCACAAAGTGCCCCTTAGTGAGGCTGGGAGCTTTACTGATGCCAGATATTGACGGAAATCTTTGTCCAGTCACCAGCTGACAACGAGTCTAAGTGAACAGAGACTTCAGTGGTTGGACATGACAAATAATACAGACCTTACAGAATTAATTCAGGGAAGTCACCAAACAAAGCGCAACAACAACAATATAATGACTTCCAAAGTTGGAACATTATATTTTTAAATATCTAGTTTTCAACTAAAGTTATAAGCCATCCAAAGAAACAGGACATTATAGTGGATACATAGTAGAAAAAGCAGTCAAAGAATACTAGA